GGTCCCGGGCTGAGCCGGGCGGGCGGGGCGGCTTGCCCGGCGGCGGGGGCTGGTGTCCCGCCAGGGCCCGCTGGGTGGATCGGGAAAACACAACTTCCTCGTTCTTCCGGCTTCGGCTCCCACCCAGGCTGGCGCAGCGACCCTGTCCCCTATCAGGTGTTGCGATCTGTTTAAGGCTAAGGCAGTCGTGGTGGCGGACGGGTGTGACAGGTATGAGAACCCTGCGGGCGGAGGGAAGGAGGAAGCATGTTGGGAGGTGACGGAGCCCGGGGCTGGGCCGAGGCTGGCGTTGGAGGTCGTGACTGAGCTGGGGCCAGGAACCATCTCTCTGGCCCTCTGGCTCGTGGCCGCGTGGGAGCTTCTGGCCCCTCAGCCTCCAGCCCCGCCAGTAGCAGCACAGGGCTGTCCCGATGCCCACATGTGTCCCAGAATAGGCACAAGGGCAAGAACCAGATTAGCATGAGTGAGGGAGCAGGGCCAGGGGACACAGGCACGCTCTGCATGACAGGCACAGAGTGGAAACAACTGGGAAGAGAGAGGGACAGACCAGCAGAAGTGACCGGAGGGGAAGGGGAGAGGTGGCTGAGAAGGCAAAGGCTTCTCCCTAAGATCAGGGCTGCAGGTGCAGGCCTGGAATCCTAGCACTCTGCGAGGCTGAGGCAGGAGGGTCACAAATTCAAACGCAACCTGGGCAATGTAGCCAGACTCTGACTCAAAATAAAAAAAATTTTTTAAAGGTCTGGGGATGTGGTTCAGTGTGAAGACCCTGGGTTCAATCCCCAGTTTCAAAAAAAAAGGCAGGGCAAGGTCAAAGTGAGACCAAGGCAAACTGAGAGACATGCTCAGAAAAAGAAGGGCTCAGGGCAGCGAGGTGACCAGAAGAGGCGTCTGGCCATGGAAAGACACCGGTCACACGCTGCCTGGCCTGCTGGGCTCCTTTGAAATGCACATACTTTTGAGGCCAGCGGTGCCAGGAGAGAGAGGGTCCTCATCTGCTAGTGCACGGCACAAGCTCGGCCTTCCTGAGGCAGAGGCTGGGCATCTGGAGGACAAACACTGTGTGAGCAGCAGTTTAGGAGGTTGGATCTTGTGCACCATGAGCAGTAATGGAAAATGGTACAGCAGCTGTGGAAAAACAGTATGGCATTTCCGCAAAAAATTCAAAATAGAGCTATCATATGATCCACCCATTCCACTTCGGGGTATAAACCCAAAGCCGTCAAAAACGGGAAATCAAGGGCTGAGGATATAGCTCATTGGCACAGTGCCTGCCTGGCAAGCACAAGGTCCTGAGTTTGATTTCTGGTCACAAAATAAATAAATAAAAGGAAATTTAAAACTGAAAAGCGAGATATCAAAAGAAAATGGGAAATTAAGCTGGGTGTGGTGATGCACACCCATAATTGCAGCTGTCAGAAGGCTGAGGCAGAAAGATTACCACAAATTCAAGGCCAGCCTGGGCTACATAGTGAGATCCTGACTCAAAAAGAAAAAAGAGAAAAACGCAAAAAACAAAACTAGGAAATCAAGATATTGGTACAGCATCATTATTCAAAGTGACCAAAAAGGAAGTGCAACCCAGTGTTTCTGAGTGAGTGAGTGGATAAATAAAATATGTCTGCAATACATGAAATAGTATTCAGCTTTGAAAAGGAAAGCCATTTTGACACCTGCCAGCCAACATAAGGACAGGACATCAGTGAAACAAGAGTGTCACAAAGGGACAGGTACTATGTCGTGTCACTTCTAGTACAGTCAAATGTATAGCAACACACAGCAGAATGGGGAGCTCCAGGACCTAGAGGTATGGATTGGAGTTATGTTTTGAGGAGTTTTGTTTCTTCTTCGCCTTGGTTTGGTTTTGGTTTGCAAAGGGTTGTCTTGGGTTGTGTTTTTTTTTTTTTTTTTTCATTTTGTTTTGGTTTTTTTGAGTCAGGGTCTTGCCACGTGGTTCAAGCTGAGCTTGAACTCACTATGTAGCCCAGGCTGGCCTCAGGCTTGTGATTGATCCTCCTGCCTCAGCTTCCTGAGTGCTGGGATCACAGGCGTGCGCCACCACACCTGGCAGGAGTTATGCTGAGTATTAGGACACAAAATTTCAGTGTGGAAAGATGGAAACATTCTGGGGGTAGAAGGTGGTGGTCACACAACAGTGGGAATTTGCACCAGGTCACTGGACTGTCACCTGCTTAAGGTAGTGCATTCTGTGCCTCGTGTATCGCCATATGGGCCGGCTCTGCGCACACACTGGCAGGGCCCTCCCAGAGGCAGATGGGGACCTGCAGGGCCACAGCAGGAGCAGCACCACCCAGCCAGGCCTGGTTGAGTGAGCCCAGGCTGCACTCCGCAGGGCCCCGGTGCGTGCGCGGCCATGCATGGCCTCGCCCCTCTGCTGCTCATCTTCCTGGCCATTCAGGCTGAGGCCTTTCGCATCTGCGCCTTCAATGCCCACCGGCTGACGCTGGCCAAGGTGACCAGGGAGCAAGTGAAGGATACCTTAGTACAGGTATGGTGGCCATGGTGTGATCTGTGACCCAAGGACTGTGACCCAGAGCCCAGTCCCGGCTCATCCAGCACATGGCCCAGAGGGGAGGGGACATCCAGGCCTCGAGCGTGCAGGTCAGAGGATGGTGCTTGCTGTCAGCGGGTCCTTCCCTCTGTACCACTAGTCCGGCTGCTTCCTGGGGCCAGGGCGGCTCTGAGCAGCGCTGGCCTTCCGGTGTCCTGCAGATCCTGGCTCGCTGTGACATCATGGTGCTGCAGGAGGTGGTAGATGCCTCCAACAGGACCATCTCCTTCCTGCTGCAAGAACTCAGACGGTGAGCAGGACTCTGCAGCCAGTGGGGCCCCCACGCTGCAGGCCCTGATCCCACTTCTCCTTTCCACAGCAAATTCGACAACTCTCGGTGCTACAGCTTCCTAAACAGCTCGCAGCTGGGGCGCAGCACGTACAAGGAGAAATATGTGTACATCTACCGGTAAGCACAAGGTGGGAGGCCAGAGCAGCCCTGGCCATGCTGTGGGATGGCCTGTCATGCCAGCACTCGGGAGGCTGAGGCAGGAGGGTTGCCGTGAGTTCCAGGCCACCCTGGGCTACATAGGGAGACTCTGTCTCAACAAAACAAAACAAATCAAAACCAAAAAAAACACCTTAAGGCCCTGGGAAAAGGAGCTCCCTGGGAGGGGCTCTTTGGAATCAGAATGGAGAGAGTGGGCAAGGGGGAGACCATCAAGGGAAGAGACCTGTCTTTCTATATAGGTGACATCATATAGTCCCGGATTTACTCCAAAATAACTGCATCTCCTTGGTATCTATTGGGAAAAATGAAAACACGTCCTGACATGAATGCTTGTGATTCATAAAAGCCCAAAATGGTAGATGTGTTACCTGTAGTGCCAGCACTCTGGGGGGGGGCTGAGGAAGGAGGGTCACAAGTTCGAGCCCAGCCAGGGCATTTTAGCAAGATCCTGTCTCACAATAAAAATAAAAAGGACTGGGAATGTACAGCAGTGTAAGGCCCTGGGTTCAACACCCAGTACTGTAAAAGAAAGAAAAACACCCAGGGCAACCCACTCGAGTCCCCTTCTGTCTTTCTCTTGGACAGAAGCTTTCTTTCCCTCAATAACTATATTCAAGAGCGGGGCGTGGTGGCGCACGCCTGTAATCCCAGCACTCGGGAGGCTGAGGCAGGAGGATTGCTGCAAGTTTGAGGTCAGCCTGGGCTACAAAGTGAGCTCAAGGCCAGCCTGAACTGCATAGTGAGGCTCTGTCTTAAAGAAAAAGACCAAAAAGAAAAGAGTTCCCCTGGGTCCAGCCTCCAGTACTGAAAAAGTAAATATATTCTACTGTTAAAAAAAGAAAGAAAAGGAAGGAAGGAAAGAAGGAAGGAAGGAAGGAAGGAAAGAAGGAAGGAAGGAAGGAAGGAAGGAAGGAAGGAAGGAAGGAAGGAAGGAAGGAAGGAAAAAGACCCAAAGTGGACGCTGCCCATGGCAGGGTACCCAGGCATTGAGAACAGAGGACAGGGTGTGGTCCACTCATCTCGGCATCACTCGGCGTTCAGGAGTATGCACATATGCCCCCAGTGGGGACATCTCGGAACCATTGTTCTAAGGAGGGAAGCCAGTCACCAAAGGTCACATGGGGTTCATTTCCATTCCCATGAAATGTCACTACAGGGAACAAATTAATGGCATCCAGTGCCTGGGGGAGGGGTGGAGAGGAACTGCGAGCGGGCACAGTGTCAGGGTCCTTGGAAGGGTAACAAGGGTGTTGAAATCGATTGTGCTGACAGTTGCACATCCTTGGAACAGACTCAAAGTCATGGAATTGTATACTTTAGAGGTGAGTTTTAAGACATGTGAGTTATATTTTCTTTTTGTACTGGGGATCAAACCCAGGGACTTTGAACTGAGCTACCTCCCCAACCCCTTTTTTATTATTATTTTGAGACAGAGTCTTGCCAAGTCACCCAAGCTGAGCTCAAACTTGTGACCCTCCTACCTCAGCTTCCTAGAATGCTGGGATGACAGGCGTGTGCCACCACACCTCGTTATGAGTTATATCTTGATAAAAACTAAAAAGCTGGGCTGGGGATACAGCTCAGTGGCATAAGCGCCTGCCTGCCAAGCACAAGGTCCTGAGTTCAATTCCCGGTACCAAAAAAAAAAAAAACAACTAAAAAGCTGTAGCTGCTCCCTGACACATGCCTGTAGTTCCAGCTACTTGAGAGGCTGAGACTCAGAGAGACCCCAGCCCCCTCCCTGCAAAAAGGTTCTAAGGGGCTGGAGGTATCACTGGGTAGTAGAGTGTGCACTTAGCAGGTAAAAAGCCATGGGTTTGATCTCCAGCACCAAAAAAAAAAAAAAAAAAAAAAGGAATTTGTTTAAATTACTTCTAAAAGTTGAGCATGGTGGCACACACCTGTCATTCCAGCACTTAGAAGACTGAGGCAGGAGGATCACTGCAAACTCAAGGCTAGCCTGACCTATATAGTGAGGTCCTGTCTCAAAAAACAAAGTACAGCACTTTCTAGAGAAAAGCCTGTGCCAATGTGAAACAGGCAGCGCCAGGAAACAGGAGAGGCCATCCCTGAGTGCCACTTCTGCTCTTGGCACGTGCACGCTAAAACCAGTATGTGGTACACAGCACTCAGAACGCTTCAAGGGTTGCTTTGAGTTCAAGGCCAACCTGAACTACATAGCTAGACCCTGTCTCAAAAAAACTAAAAAACCGAATCAGTGACTTGAGGCAACTACTTTCTGTCCTTTGTCCTCCCAGGTCCGACAAGACCCAAGTCCTGAATTTCTACCAGTATGAAGACAAGGATGACCTGTTTGCCCGGGAGCCTTTTGTGGCCCAGTTCACTCTACCTAGCAAAAGTAGGAGGGGACAAAGGTGGGAGAGTCTGCTGGCTCCTGTGGGGCAGAGGGGGCAGAGGAAGCCAGGTGCAGCCTGGGCTGGTGGCAACCCAGGCTCCCGGGCCTTTCAGTCCTTCCCAGTGTTGCGCTGGTCCCACTGCACACCACCCCTAAGGACGTGGAGAACGAGCTGAACGCCCTCCATGCTGTATTCCTGGATGTCGCCCGGCGCTGGCAGAGCAAGGTTGGGCCAGGCAGCTGGCATGGGGGCAGAGGCGGGGAGCGGCAGGCCAGGGAGCCGGGCTGATGCCTCTGCACCCTAGGATGTCATCCTGCTGGGGGACTTCAATGCCGACTGTGCCTCGCTGGCCAAGAAGCGCCTGAGCACGCTGCTGCTGCGCACCGAGGTGGGCTTCCGCTGGGCCATCGCCGACGGCGAGGACACCACAGTGCGGGCCAGCACCAACTGCAGCTATGACCGCATCGTGCTGCATGGCGAGGCCTGCCAAGGGCTTGTGCGCACCGCCGCGGCCTTCAACTTTCCCCAGAGCTTCCGGCTCTCTGAGGAGGAGGTAGGGGTGGGCAAGAGGGCAGCTGGGGCAGGGGCGAACCCCAGCCTGATGCCACATCCTGCCCTTCCAGGCCCTCAGTATCAGCGACCACTACCCTGTGGAGGTGGAGCTGGACCAAGCACCGTATGGCGTGCAGCACCCCAGCCTGGCCACCTTGCTGCTGCTGTCACTGCTGCTGCCACTCTTGGCCCCTCAGTCAAGCCCTGTGGCCTGACTCAGACCCTAGCCTCCCTCCGTTCCACCTGGGGCCTAAGCAACTCCCTGGGGGCTTTTGTCTGACCGCCCTCCTCCATCCGCCAGTTTAGGTTCTGCTGTTGTGGCTGTTTGGGTTTGAGCCAGCAGCTGAGGCTGGATCTTAGCCACCCCATCAGGTAGCGTGAGGGGCCGCGACAAGCCAATAGGAGGGCTAAGGTACTTGCCCGGGAACCAAACTCGGGACCTTGCGCTTGCCAGGCAGGCACTGTGCCGCTGAGCTGTATCCTTGGCCTGAGCTGCCCTTACCGCACAGGGTTCACGTAGGTCAAGCGGACAGGACAAGACAAGGCAGCCCTGAAAACCACACAGCCCAGGTCCTGTGGCAAGCATAACCTGTGACGAGGGCACAGGATGCTGGGTGTAGGGAGAGGCAACCAGGCTGGCTACCAAGGCGGCACACCAGCAAAACTTCACTGACAGAATCGGAGACACTTCAATGAGCCTCCTCCCGAAGGTCAAAAATAAAAGTTAATCTGAAACAGAAATGCCTCCAAATGAAGTTTTGGGGTTTTTTTCCGACAGCCTCATTATGTAGTTCAGGCTGACCTCAAACCTGGGAGGATCCTCCTGCCTCTTGCCTCCAGTAATGAGGTTACAGGCATGCAGCACACCTTCTAAATGAAGATTATAAAAAGCCCAAGGTCTCTCTGGGCTGGTTCAGGAACCACCCCTGAAATTCCTACAGCTGGGGTCCTGGGGCTCCCCAGGCCACAATAAACTCCACCGGCAGAAGCCTGCAGGTATTGGAACGCACAGGAGCTTGGGGAGCAGCCTAGGTCTGTGGTGGCAAGCCTACTACTATAGGGAGGAAAACACTGGTCAGGCCTGGCACTGCCAAGCCGACTTGTGAAACCAGATGGCAGGGACCATACCCACTTGTGAGCAGTTGGCCTGGCATCTCCTTGGGGCAGGCTGATCCAGGCAGCACACAGTCTAGTGCCACAAGGACTGGGCAGCCTTCCTACCTGGGGAGGAGCTGGGCCTGGAGCCCTGGCCATAGTGGAAGCGTGTACTCAGGCCCTCTTTTGGAAACCAAGAGTGGTTTTATTGGTGCCCGGGACTCCTTGCCACCCTTTCCCTGAATATCAGAACACGTGTAAGTGGGGCAGAGATAAGATTTATTGATGAACTTGTTAAGGGGGGAGAGCGGCACAGTGGAAGCCTTCAGGAGTGCAAGGCCCGCCACTTGTCCAGGGGACCGCGATTCGGGATGTATTTCACCCCACAGCCATCAGGGATGAGGCGTTTCTCGGCCACCATGTCTTCAAATTCATCTGCATTGAACTTGGTGAAACCCCACTTCTTGGAGATATGGATCTAGGCAGAGAAGAAAGGCATTTAGTGTGGAGGACCAGAGCCCGGACTGGCGGGGCATGGGGTCACAACACGGCTTACCTTCTGGCGGCCAGGGAACTTGAACTTGGCCCTGCGGAGAGCCTCGATCACATGTTCCTTGTTCTGCAGCTTGGTGCGGATGGACATGATGACCTGTCCAATGTGAACCCTTGCCACTGTCCCCTGAGGTTTCCCAAAGGCACCCCGCATGCCTGTCTGGAGCCTGGATTGGGGATGGCAGATCAGCTACATCAACATCCACTGAGAGTGTCTCCAAGGTCCCTTAGGGCAGCCCGTACAAGCAACAGGCTGCGTACACAACCGAGGAGCTTGCTATCCGCAGCCACTGCACACTGGGCACCCACCAGCAAGGAACCCAGTCGGCTTAATTGACTGCAGCCCGAGTCCCCCTCCACAGTGTAGCACCCTGCATAGTGCTGCACCCCTAGCTTGCAGACACTTAAGCACAGAGAAGCTGGAAGCACTGAAATGCCATGTGCCCCAGAGGCAGCCAGGGATCACTCATGGTGCTACTGGGTTTTGATGGTTGTAGAATGGGCAAGTGTCCACTGAAACCCACTTGCCAGCCCTTACAGTGTGATTCCTTAATCACCAAGGGTAGCTGAGCTTATGTAGGGTCAACCCTGTACCGACTGGATGTCAAATGCAGCACAGAGGTCCCCAACTTTCGGGAAAAGGCACAAAACCAGCTCACCTGTCAGCCCCAGCACAGGACAACATCTTGTTGATACGGATGACATGGAAAGGGTGGAGCCGCACCCGGATATGGAAGCCATCTTTGCCGCAGCTTTTCACCATATACTTGTTGGCACAAATCCGGGCAGCCTCCAGCGCTAGGAGGGGAGAGAGCAAGAGGACAGTGCAGATCGCTCAGCTGGGCATTAGCTGGATGAGGTTGCAGAAGGCAGCAGGGCTGTGGCACAATGTCCCCTGCGTCCCAGCTGTGACAAGGGCTATGTGATTAGGAAAGGGCGCCGCCTCACCTTCGGAGGAAAGCTGCTCATATTCATCAGACACCATGTGGCCACACAGTGGGAACTCATCCACTTTTGCCTTCTTCCGCCCCAGGTCAAAGATGCGGATCTTAGCATCTGGAAAAGATGGGTAAGCACAGGAGGGTGCAGCAGGAACAACAGAGGCAGCATGGGGCCAAGCCAAGTACTTGGAACTCTGTCGCTACTTACCAGGGACACCTCGGCAGAAGCGGGACTTTGGGTACGGCTTGTTCTTACAATACCGGTAACTACGCCAAGAAAAAAGATTGGAGTCAAGCTGTTAAGATGTTCCCTGAACAATCACAGCCCAAGGACAGCACACGCCAGCAACCTCAGCTGCTTGGGAGTCTGAGGTAGGAGAGTCCCACTGTGCTGGCCAGCCTGGGAAACTCAGCACAAGAGCGCCGAGAACCTAACACCACACACACAAAAATCTTTAGCAGGACATGTTGTGCCCAAGTATCCTGACATCTTCTGATGTGATGATCATTCCTAGGCGCTCTTCAGCACTGAAGTATATTACATCCCCAGCCCAAAAGAGGGAAAAACGAAATCTCTAACGATAAACAGTCTCCATTAGCAGAAGACGGTTCTACGTCCGCTCTAAAGCCAACACTCGATGTGAACAGGTAGCCCCTCAGAGAACACCCCAGATTGGCTTTTCTCCGGTACCGGGAACCGAACTCACGACCTTGCGCTTGCCAGGCTGGCGCTTTTGCCGCTGAGCTAAATCCCCAGCCCCCGAACACCCCAGATTAACACTAAAGAGTCAGCATTTCCCTTAACCCCCCTAGTCTGCTCCTGACAAAGGCAACACTTTACTGCACGCCTCCCAGTTTAAGAACCCACTTTCTTCACAGTATCTGCGCACTACAAACTGCGCACAATTTCCAACACTCGGAGCCACCCAGGCACACTTCCGGGCACGGGGTATGGAATCCGCCTGCGCGCCACGTGAAGGGCGCCAGGCGCCCCCTGCAGGACAACGGGAGACTGCGCCCGAACTGCCCTTGCTACACGATTAAGAACCCACTCGACGACTGCGGGAAATTCAGAGAGGATTGCATACAAAGGCCTGAAAAGTCACTGACCCCCTACAACGGGACAAAAATCTCTGCACAGTGTTGGGTGTCGGCGGAGGTCGCTTCCAGCCCAACGCTGGGGATGCACAAGGAGTCTCAGGCCAACCCGCCACCCCAACAAAACCAAGAAAGCGATACAACTTTCAAAGGAAAAAAACCACGTAGTATAAACAAAAATTAAAAGCGTTTAGGGGGATGTTAGAGGAAACACGGAATTAGGTCCCAGCACGGGAGCGTGGGACGATGGAGGCTCCACCCAGAGGCTGTACAAGGAGCAAAAGGCACTATTCCCTCTCACTGACGAACAGCCAAACCTGACAGACTCGGAACTCACCACCGGGCGGGACGGCGTCCCATGGCGACACCAAAGGTCTTCGGGGGCTGCAGCAAAACAAGTAAAACCGGAACAGAAAATGAGGACAAGCTCCAAGCCACAGCAAAAAGGAAACGACACCACACAGTCAAGAGACGACGCACACTCACCGCACCGAAGGAAAAGAGGCGCTCCCACCCCTGCGCATGCCTTATATAGACGGCCTATCTTCACACGTAGAAACCATAGAGTCCAAGCGCGAGCGAGTGGGCGCTCTATCAGATCTCTGAACCATAGATAGAGAGGCATTCTGCGCCTGCGTGCAAGAGCGGCCCAGCACATGCGCAGAGCTGACAGATGACGACACCGGAACCGTGAGCAGCCTGCTGGCAAATGGGGTTTGGACACATAGGCTTAAGAAGCTAGCTTCCGGCTGGCCATCTTGGGCGTACATTTCTTGCCGTAGGAATTACTGTAATTAAGACATACATATATCCCAAGAGTTGAAAAGAGTGACTTTTGGGTGGGACTTGAAGCGGCCGCGCACGAGTTCCCTAGCTTCGGGAACCAAGGACTGCCACTCTGGGCCTTCTAGGCGCCAGGCGCCGCCGGGAAACGCCAAGCTGGGGTCTCAGCCCGCATTCCTTTTGTCAACAGGGAGGCTGGAGCGGGAGATCCACCCACACCCCCTCCCCGTAACCGAAGAGTCCGCAGCAAGCCTGCACCGAGTCCCACTTTCCCAGAGACCCGGGTGTCCGCCGCCTTCCCGCAGAGAGGAGGCCGCGGAGGAGCCCTCTCCCCGCGCGTATACACATAGCGGGGCCCGCCCCACCCCGTCCTCTTCCGTACGTCCGGAAGGGAAGCATCGCCCTATTCGGGGACGGAATAGAGGGCGGCGACGCCATTGGGCTGGCGAGGGAGCAGGGACACCTTGCCTCAGGCCACTCCCCAGTCCCGACACAACTCCCACACACCGCCTCCCATGAGCTTCACGTGCCAGGACCCCAAGGTGGCTGTCCCTTCCCAACCCACCCTGCCCAGAAAGTGGCTGGGATGTGTCTCGAGGCAGCTTTCACCCGAGCATGGTCAGCTCCCCAACCCCCACACACACCAGGTGCTGTCCAGGGGGAGGTGGGCAGAGCAGGCGTCCTGGTCACCAGGGTCCTAGCGGCCAATGTGCGGGCAGTGGGGATGAGGGAGCCAGCACGACACCTCCCCAGGTCACCGACAGGTGGGGCCCAACAGTGGGAATCCTGCTTGGGCACACCTGCTTTCACAGACAAGTCACTTTAGCACATGGCAGCAGGGCCCTTTCGGGAAGGCTCGGGAAGACTAGTGGCTGCATGGACTACGATGGTGCGCCATCCTTCCCAGCACAGGAAGCTGGGTTCCACACTTACTTAGGTCTGCAAACCAGGTGACAGACTGAGTCCATTAGGTCACCTGAATCAGGGACTTGATTCTCAAACCTAGGGCATTTCCAGTGAGACATTAGTCACTGATGGAGTAGGCTGTGGTCTATTTTGTTCGCAGAGACCCTGTGATCAATCAATCAGGCCTTGGCAAAGATGTCTAGACCAAGGCATTCTGAGCGCTTCAGTGCCTCCTGAACTCCACAGAAGACATGTCCACCTTGTTCAGGGCAGCTGCTGCAGTATCTCTGTTATGCCAGGGCAACACTATCCCGAAGGGGTCAGGGAGACCCCATCAGCGGTGTCAAACCACAATAATTTGGGACT